TGCTTGCCCCTCTTTCTCTTCTGAAGGCTAGAAAGGGACTTTCTCTTAAGGTCCCTTATCTACCTAAAGACAGATACTCCAAGGAGAAACTCAATTTTTATCCCCCACCCCTAGCAATGTCATCAAACAGGAAAGATTAATTGTGTCCCAGAAGAGACTGAAGGTGACATCACAGACTGTCACATTCTAAGGAATGTCACCCATTCTTTAGAGTGCTGCTCCAGTCAACTTTTATTATCTGAGAGAGTTTTTATCTGCAGAACAAGACAACCTCCATTCACCATACATTCCCTCCCTTCTTCTGTCATACATTGGTCCCTCCATCCCCAGAAGCTCCAATTCCTATTTGTTTCTGTAGTTCAGGGTGCTACACAGACTTCAAACATTGGTCCTTCTGCAAGTCTCATATTTTGTGGGACTTCTGTGCATAGGCACTCAATAAATTTGTATGATTTCTCTCATCAATCTGTCAACTGTCAGTTTTATAGACAAATTATTGAATGTTCAGGGAACGGCATTTTCTCTATAGTTTGGAACAATCTGATTTCAGGACAGTAAAAGGGGGTTTTAGAAAACAGGGGTGATGGATGTCATGGGTTTGGGATCTTACTTATCTACAACAAAACCTGCAGTCAAATAGTGGCTTGGTGGCTCTCAGACAAGCCTTGCAAAGGCCTGGGATCAATCAAGGCATTAGGATCAGGTCCTGATGATGGAGGCCATGCTAAGGCAGCAAGCTGGACTGGGCTTAACTCATCACAGAGCTCCGACTGGGACCTCGTTTGAACACACCCTGGGTGTGGGGGGAGCGGTTAGACTCACAATTCTTGAATGCCTACTGCAGGGCAGGCCATGCATGTGTGTGGGTACAGTTGTCACAGTAGTCCTAAGGGCCATGCATGTGTGTGGGTACAGTTGTCACAGTAGTCCTAAGGGACATGTTATTGACCTTCATTTTATAACCAAGGAAGCCCAGCTCAGACAGCTAAAATGTGCCTCCCTCCGCTTCCCCTTCAGCCAAGCCTCACAAACCTGATATAGCTGAGGAAGAAATCCAATAGGTTGAAATTGAAGAAGACAAAAACAAGAGAAAAATCCATTTCCTTCAAAAGAAAACAATGGAACAGAAGAAGCAAGTGGGCGAATCAGTGTGAGGTCAATACATACTGTACACTGCACAAGCGTTGCCTTTTACTGTTTAACTTCCTGAGATGCAAAGAGGTTAGCTGAGTTTAAATGACTGTGCTGCCCCTTTGATTGCAAAGAATCGTGAACCACTGACACAGCACCTGCCCCTTGTGTCTGTGTGACTGTCTGGCAGGGAAGGAAAAGAACTTGCATGTTGATGAAGCAAGAAGCTGGATGGCAAGACAGTGAAGGAAATCTAGGGTAAAACCCAAGCTGTTTGAGCTGTCCTGCAGGTTGTAACATGAAGTTTAATCAGAGTGATTTTTTTTTATGTTCAAATGATTTTAATAATTGGAACGAACAAATTTTAAACACACAAAGTTTTAAAATCTGGATGAGCTGGGGGCATGGCCAAATGGTAAAATGCCTGCCCGGCAAGCATGAGGACCTGAGTTCAAACTCCAGTACTGCTAAAATCTGGATGAGAACATGCTGAAGTTTTCACAATGATCTCTGAGTAGAGCTCATCTTCAAAGCTGTTCTATCAGCATGGGTCCTTGCTGGTTTCCGTCTGTTGAAGGAAGTTTGTATTCATTTGGGTTCCGATAAAGTGGCTCTGTTTTTGATGTTTGCTGGAGTGTTTGTACAGCCCAAGGTGGGCATCTCTGGGAAGGGTGGGGCTTCCTTGGGAACTAAGTCTTGTTTCTCTGAGGGCTTGGACACAATGACTTTGGGAACTGGTACCTGGGAAGTCCAAGGAGTTCATTCAAGCCATTAGAGTGCAGTGATTCAGGGCCCCTTGCTGCGACTAGCTGTGTGGCAATGTCTGGGCATTTGCTTCCTGCTGGGGGTGCTCAATCTGATTGGCCAGCCTTTAGTTTCTTCCTTGCTTGATGATTCATCCAGACTACTGCTGGTTTCCTGCCTTTGCTTGGGCATTCTGTGAACTGCTCATTGGTTTCCTGCAGGGGATGCTCTTGTGGACCAGTCCTTTCCAGCAGGGGCACAGACTAGAAACCTCAGACCTGCCCACAGTCCTGTCCTGAGGTGAGCTGCCAAAGAAGGTCTCTAGCTGAGCAAGAAGTGATAGGAATAGGAGTGGAGGGATGGAGGATGGAGTTCCTAATTTTTAGAGTGGGGAGCGTGTGCCCTATGTATGAAGGAGAAGACGTCACTAACTTGGCTGTGGATGGCTGCCATTTTAATTGGAGCCAGATTTGCTGGCATGAGTGTTTTTAATAACTGATAGATGCAGGCACTGCAGTGAGATCCTTCTATCCTAAATTAAAGAAACCACTTAGGGAACAACTCCACAGTATCTTCCTCTACCTCACTCTCAGTTCTGTGCATCAGCAGGGATTTCAGCTCCTCACTGGTTCTCTGTAGCCACTTCCAAACCGTCCCAATCTTCTGTTATCTTGGAAGGCACCATTGATATCAAAGGACAGCTGGGGGGAGGAGGGGCATTAGTTTACACACACACACACACACACACACACACACACCCCACACACCATACACATATATTATAGATACGCACACAGCATACACACACACATTTGCTTCATTAACCTCCTTAAATTATACTAACCAAACACATTATAAGAACATTGTACTTTCCCTGTAAACAGGGGGTCCAGGGAAGTACTTCTTAAATTTTATTGTGCACGGTACATCACCTGGGGATCTTGCTGAAATGTAGATCCCTATTTAGGAGGTCTGGAAGACTTCAAAATCTGCATCTCTCACAAGTGCACAGATGATGCCAAAGCTTCTCTTGAAACCACACTTTGTTTATTGAGCCACCAGGCAGTCCCACCAGTCAGCAAAGTCCTCCTAATATTATTCTGCAGACAGAAAAACAGTGTGCTAGGGGAGCAGGAATCTCAAGTGTTTCTCTCTCTCTCTCTCTCTCACATACACACACACACACACACACACACAAAACACATACAATCACACAATCACACCTCAGGGACTGGGATCCCAAGCCCAGACCTGTGTTGTAATCTGACTCTGCTAGGGACTGCCAGGAGTTGCATCTCCATGTCTCTCTGGACCCCAGTGTCTTTGTGTGTACTCTCTAAGGTTGATCTGACAAATAGCTGAAGCCCCTCCAGCTCTAACATTCTTTGTTTCTAATAATTGACGAACACACTTGCAGTCTTCCCTACAGAGCCTGAGTCCTGGGTTCCTGTGTGAATTCCACCCCGCCTTGCTTTGTGTCTCTGGAGGATCATTACCTCTCTGGCCTTGCTGCCCTTGTTTACTAGATGTGGAGTGATGACAGTTGTGTGATCTGGATAAGCCAGGACACAAATAGAACCTTGTACATAAAACTGCCTAGTATAGTTCTTGGCAAAATAAGGATCAGTCAATATGGTTGATTGGTTCTTGCTTCTGGGAAGAATTAGTCTGCTTGCCCTGTTTCAGGGATAGGCAGGAATCAAACATGACCTGTCCTTCAGTCTCAGTGCCTGGATTCTAGATTAAAGAATAAGAGGTGGCTGCTAAAGTGATGGGGGGGGGGAACAATTCCTATGATCTGAAGATAAAATAAAATGGGTATGGATGGGCAGTGGGGAAGGCATTCTGGATGTAATTTGATGAGTACGCATTGGTAAGAGGAACACTTTCTGACCCCACAACACAGATTGCATGGTTGCTGGGAACAGCAGCAAGGGGGCAGGAGTATGGGGCATTAGTGCCCAAGGCAGGGAGTCTGGAACTTATGATGGGGTAAGGGCAAGGAAGGCCAGCGATAACATGCCTGCCTTCTTCAAGGCCTTAACTCATACTGGCTGGGAAACTGAGAAGCGCGACACAGTGTGCAGAGGAGGGCAGCTGTGTTATCAAGGAACTTCTTCCTAAAAGCCCCAGATGAACATAACAGTGGTAGTGGTGATGATGCTTAATCTGAGTGCAAGGGGCTGCAAGGGGGTGGAATTGGGTACCCTCATTGGTGACATTTCTGTTTAGAATGTCTCAAGATTCCATCTAGGTGTTATTTTAAAAACCTGTCCAAAAAACATACTATATGGAAGTCACCAATACAACTATACTGCTTTCTGTTCCCACTAAAGTATTGTCATGACAACATGGACAATTCATGGAAAACCTATTTGAGACTTAAGTTTTTTTACCTGGAAATGAAGGGTGACTCTGGTGACCCTGGTGGGTCCTTTCGCTGGAGTAGTAGGTGAGTCCCAGGATTTCTCCTGAAAATAAGATAGGTAGCATTTTTGGCCCAAAGGTTATCACTCATCTGTGCCCTCTATTTTTCATTTGGGAAAGGAAAGGAGAAAAGGTTGGAGATGGTATTTCCATTAAACAACTTTTCCATGTCGCTTTTCTTCGGGAACTATAGACTTGGGTGAAGAACTCAAGTCTCTGACCCGGGAAATTGACTAGTGGCCAATTCTTTGGTCACCCATTAAAATCTCAAAGCACTTCTCTAAACATCCAGGTCTGTTGGTTGTTTGGGATCAGTGGTCTGTAGGTCGACCCTCTCGGGAGCTCAGAGTGACCAACTTGTGTCCTGCAACTTTGCTTTATAAAATGGCAGCCTGAAAGAGGAGTGGGTCGCCATCAGGGAGACAGCTTGAGACCTTCCCGGGACGGCCAGAGAACTCTCGTCCCGCCACCAGGCGGCGCGCGCGCCCCGTGGGCCGGAGCAGGGGGTGGGTTGGCCCCGCGGCGCGTTGGGACACGCGCGTACCCGGCAGAGACGGGGCCGCGCACGCCCGGGCTCGGGGAGGCGCGCCGGCGCCGCGGGACCATTTCCGGGAGGGGCGGGGTCGCCGCTGGCCCCGCCTCTAATCTCGGCGGCGGAGGCAGGCGGAGCGCGGACGCTGCGGCCCCCTGGTCATTCGCACGCTGAGAAAGGACGCGGGAGGTGAGGCGGCTGGAGACCGGGAGCGCCCGCGGGGCGGAGCGGGCCAGCTGGCTCCGGCCTGAGGAGATGGAGGGGTGGCCGTGGGGAGGGCCCGGCTGATAAGGCAGGCGGCTGAGGCCTGGTGGGCTCAGGCGGAGGGGTCGTGGCGCTGCCCGCGCCGGGGAGGCCAGAGTGGACCGAGTGGGTCTGGAGCCCCACGCCCGCGGCCGCTGGGCTTGCCGGTCCTTCGGGCCCGAGCGCGGCGGCTGTGTTGCAGCGAGCCGGGTGGAGGCGGGCCCTGGGTCCCGGCTACCCGCGCGTCCGACCCCCCGGCCGGGCCAGGGCGCCTGGCGGGCTCGGGGACCCCGGCTCGGGGCGTGTCCTTCAGGCTTGATGCGAGTCTGGGTTCCTTTCGTCTGCCGTGGGAGGGAAACAAGTAGCAGCAGGATTCCGATTTTCGGGTATGGGGCGGAGTGCGCTGTCTGGGAGTGAAATCTGAGTCTTCCAAAGAGGGAGCGAGCCCAGGCTGGGCTGCTCTGGAGAATCGAGGCGGACCGTGGAGTCACTTCCAAGCTTTAGAAGTAAACAGTTGTTTCCCTTTACAGACATTGCACCGGCAGATCCTCAGAAGAGGAAGATGCCTACTACGGACCTTCTGACGTTGGTGAGCCCTTCCCAGCCATCCTCTTCCTTGGAGGGCCTTTGTCCTTTAAGTTTTATTTTTAGTCCAAAGGATCCGAGGGTGGCAGTTTCACTTCTGATGCTTGCTTTTGTTAGCTGAGTATTTCTGCCACCTTTTATTTGGGGTTAATGTTCGGGACGAATAAATGACTGAGTTAAATATAAATACAGTATATGTAGAACTAAAAAATTACTGAAGAATCTTTTTCAGAATAATAACTTATTATTTTGGTGGTACTGGGGTTTGAACTTAGGGCTTTGCTCTTGCAAAGCAGGCACTCTATTGCTTGAGCCACACCTCCAGTCTTCTTTTTCAAAATTATTGCAGGTGACTTTAATCTCTTCCTTCTCAAACTACTGGAGCAGTATCAAAACTTCTCTTGTTACCTTTTGTCAAGGTCTGTTGTATATTAGTTTTTTATATAAGTGTTTGTCTCCTAGACTAGAGTTATAGTTGTCTGGAAGGCAGGTACTATATCTTATTTGTTTAGAGATGAATAAAGATCTTTTGTGATATTCTGAATATAGGAAGTGCTTAAGAAATGCCCAGACTAGTCTGAATTTAAGTTCTTTTGTTGCCTGCTTTGGTGGAGTTTGCTTTCTCACCTCTGGACATTTTCATGTGCTTGCTTGCTTTCTTTCTTTTTTCAGAGAGGGGGAGAATAGTATTGCTTGCTTTCTTTCTTTCTTTTTTCAGAGAGCAGGAGAATAGTATCGCAAAATGCACATTTACCAAAATGACATTTTATTTATTTATTTTTGCTGGCACTGGAGTTTGAACTCAGGGCCTCACACTTGCTAAGCAGGTGCTCTTACTGCTTGAGCCATTCTGCCAGTCCTTTTTTTGATGGATTTTTTTCCAGATAGGGCTCCTGAACTCTATGCCCAGGACTGGCTTCCAACCTCCAATCCTATTCATTCTGCCTCCTGAATAGCTAGGATTATAGGTATGAACCACTGGTGCCTGGCCAAAATGACATTTTATTGTTGGGATACTTATGATTCCTTATAAACTCTTTAAGTATAAAAATTGAGGGGAGCATATAGCTTTCAAATAGCAATGCAGAAAATATGTGAGTTTAGTTTTTGTTTAATAATTCTCTTCCCTGAAGTTGATATTTCCTTGTGTAATATTAGTGATTAAAAACAATTTCTCCTTATCTCACTATGGAAGAGCGTTCTTTGTTGTCACTGAGAAATTAGTAAAAGCTAGTATGGAGGTTTTCTTTTACCCATCGTTGACTTGTAGTGGCAGCACCTGTAAGGTCTGCAGGAGGGTAGTAAAGAAGAGGGAAACTAAGTTATGATCTCTTCTGGTTTGAGGAGGGGAGCACAGATAATTTTAGGTTGTGTGTGAGAGACAGGAATACTTGGTTTATACTCAGAACCTGATGAAAAGTTCACCTAAAATAGATTCTTTACCTGAATTTCATGAATTTCAGTGGATAATAAATAGCCTTATGTGATTTAAGCTTTTTTTAAATTGCAAGAGCATTCTGTTAAAAACTATAACTAAGCAAAAGGAAAGAAGTTCTCCCATCCTGTTCATCCCCCAACTCTCTTCCTGCAGTAATTCCATAACCCATAGATAACTGCTGTTAGCATCTTGGAGGATTAATGTAGAATGACTTCTAACAATTAACAATTTCTGGTTTTCCTTCTATAGATTGTTATGTTGTAGCTTCCATTCTTGAAGTTGTCCTTATTTCTTTGGGGTCCATAAACTTACTTTAAGTTTGAGCAGTGATTGCATTTATTCAGAATATTAACCTTGGAAACAGTTTTATTTTGAAATAGTTCTCTATTGTTGCCATACTTTTCACTTACTCATCTGATAATCTAGAATGCCTAGGGGTAGGCTGAGGATATAGCTCAGTGGTAGATCACTTACCTAGAATGCCTAGGGGTGTTGCTTTGCTTGTTGCTCTAAGGAATTATTTCACTTAACTATGAGGTGCCCTCAACAGTCATCATTTTCTGAAGACAACCTACAGGTTTCATGAAGTACTCTCACTGGAAGAGCTGTCATCCCTTCTGTCATATGGGGCTAAATGGTAAAGAGCTCATGACCAAGGCTGGGTTATTGATGAGACACTAAACCATCCAGTATAATCTGAGTTCAAGGATCTCTAACTACTTTTTATGATGGGTAAAACAAATTGACCCTCCAACTGGGAAGAAAGGATGTAAGTGAAAAAAAAAAATATCCTCAGCACATGGAAGTGTCTTACAGAGACACAGAATTAAAAGCAATTTTAATTTTTCAAGATTTAATAATAAAGCCATTTGCAGTGGCGTGAACCTGTAGCTCCAACAACTCAGGAGGTTGAGGCAAGACAATCAATTCAGTTCAGGAGTTTGGGGCCAGCCTGGGCAACTCAGTGAGATTGTCTCTTTTAAAGGAAAAAAAAATTAATAATAAAATCTAAAGTCATAAATGTCTTTGAAGAAAATATAGGACTTATGTTCACTTAAGGAAACAGATACTCTTGGGATGTACATGTTTCAAAAAAATTTTTAAAAGTCATATGATACAGCTTTTTATATTGAGTATTTTCAATATTCTTATATTGGATATTTTTTTGGTAGGACTGAGGTTTGAACTCGGGCCATTGCACTTGTTAAGCATTCTGCCACTTGAGCCCTCAGTCCTTTAATTTTAGTTATTTTTCAGAATAGGGTCTCACATTTGTGTGTAGGCCATCCTGGACCACAATCCTTCTATTATACACTTCTCATGTAGCTGGAATGACAGGTTTGTGCTGCCATGCCCACTGTGCTTTTATTGGTTGAATGGAGTCTTACGAAATTTTTCCTCAACTGGCCTCAAACTGAGATCCTCCTTATGTCTGCTTTTGGAATAGCTAGTATTATAGGAGTGAGCCACTGCACCTGGCTTTTTTTTTTTTTTTTGGAATGTTTCTGATAAAGGAATATCCTGTCACTCATCCTTTCTGCTAACAATACGATGAGCAAAAGGTAGGAAATAATACAAAGTAGATTGAGGAATACTATAATCCCTAGAGCTAACATTTATCGAGTGTATCTGACATATTAGGTGCAGAAATAGATATTCTATGTGCTCATTTAATTTTTGAAAAAAAAAACAACCAAAACTCTTGAAAAATACCCTCTTCTAATAGATGAAAACTAGACTTTATGGCTAGTACCACAGCAGTTAAGTGGTGGAACCATCTCACCTCCGGTGGTCTGACTTCAGATCCTGCCCTCTCGCCTACTGTGTAACACTGCCTCTCGGCCATATTCCTGGTATGGGATGGAGGTTGTTGGCCATTGTGACTGATTGGAGAGGGTTTATGTAGAACAGAAGGGGTGGAACTGTTCTCCCTTCTGGGGGTTCTCTGGAAACATGAGGCGATTGGGAAGAAGATTCTTGTCTTTTAGTATAGTGTGGTCTGAAAATATATTTTTTGTTATAAAAGCTTGTTGGTTTTCCTTTGCATTTCAGTTAGGGTATTATATTGAAACTTTAAAATTTGTGTCTAGATACAGTGTTAACAATCTTTGAAGGGTATTATAAAACATTTATTATAAAAAGAAGGCATTGGAGCTGGGTGCTGGCTCATGCATATAATCCTAGCTACTTGGGTACAGAGATCAGGAAGATCTCCGTTGAAGGCCAGCGCAGGCAAAAAGTTCATGAGACCCTGTCTCAAAAATACTCAACACAAAACAGGGCTGGTGGAGTGGCTCCGGTGGTAGAGTGTCTGCCTGGCAAGCTTGAGGCCCTGATTTCAAATCCCAGTACTACCACAAAAACAAAACAAAAAGGCATTGGGCCTGATAGGGCTGAAAACCACTTACTAGGAGTCCAGACATAACCAAGCTTGAGTCCAGTCCAAGGGGCTTGGGCTGTCAGCCCTTAGAGTGTTCTTGCTCTCAGTTTTGTCCTTGCTTGACTAGGATGGTTTCCCTACCTTTTTCCATTTGCTCAGATGGAAATGTCTGTGTCTCAGGGAGAATTAAAATGAGTGAGTGCATTCACTACTGGGCGAGTTAGGATGCTTTTGGAGGGAATTCAAGTCAGGCAGTTTTGTGGTGGCCTGTCTACTTTGGCAGCCATTCTTTTCATCCATATTCTTCTCAGTGCCACGGGTGGTATCACTTTACAAGTTACCAAATACTTGTAGGTTTTTTTTTATTAGCATACATTAATAGTACAAGGGGCTCATTGGGATAATTCCATACATAGGCACATACAGTGTACTAGTTCACCCTTCTTTTATATTTCTTTAACTCCCCCTCCTTTCCCCTTTAACCCTTCAAACCGTATCTGAATTTCATTACACACTCTCACCCCATGTGTGTGTATATATATATATATATATATATATATATATATATACACACACATTTGTCTACACACACACACACACACACACACACACACACACACACACACACACACATATATCACATTTTCTTTGTCCATTCATTGGTTATTGGGTACCCAGGTTAATTCCACAACTTGGTATTGTTAATAGTGCTTATTTCCACTTTTGGATATATTCCCAATGGTGGTATAGCAGAGGCATTAAGGTAGATCTATTTTTAGCTTTTTGATGAAACTCCATACTGATTTCCATAGTGATTACACTATGGAATTACAGTCTCACTGACATTTATAAAGGTTCTTTTTTCCTCATACCCTCACCAGCATTTTGTTATTTGTTTTCTTTTGGTGATACTGGGGTTTGAACTCAGTCCTTGCACAGGTTTACCATTAGAGCCACACCCTGGCCCTGTTGTTTTCTTGATGATTGCCATTCTGACTAGGGTGAGATGGAATCTCAGTGTCATTTTGATTTGCATTTCCTTTATGGCTAAGAGTGTTGAACACTTCTTCATATATTTTTTAGCCCACATACTTGTAGTTTTTAAGGAAAAGGTACTTAATAAACCTACGTTTACTCCTTAGATGGCTTTTCTCTTTTCCTATCCAAAGACGATGAATATGTTAGC